CAGGGGGGCGCGGAGATTGCTGGACTGCAAGGAGGTCTTGGCAATGCCTGCCATTCCAATTGAGGTTGCTGAAATGCCGCCTAGATGGCTGTGCAAAGGTCAGGTGACTCTCTTCCTGTCCCAGGGCAGTTGACACGTGGTATGCACAGTCAGTAACTGGCACTACCCATTTATGTTGTGCAAGCGCTGTATCGCCAAGGGCAAGCAGAGAAGGAGGAGATTGTCTCGGCTCAAATGTTGGGTCACCCCATTCAGACAACTGTTGCAATCGACTTTCAAGACCAGATTGCCAAACTGGCAAAGTCCCGAGTGGGCAAAACTTGACAACACCTCCATGCAGACTACAGAAACGTTCTCCCTTTGGCAGAGGGGAAGTATTACCCCAAAGGTAAACTTCATAGTCGGTGAGGCCATGTCTAAGCGCTGTGTCGGACAATTCGCTGTATCGCCCATCAACAAAGAACTGTTGAGCATAACATGGGCCATTACACTGACGAAAGTCCAGGACTAGAATCTTCATCCCGTGCGTGGAGAGCCAAGAGCCCCCGAGCACTAGCGAAGCAGACCCAGAATCGAGTTGTGGGATAGTCGGCGATAGGGACTTAGCATATTCAAGTCTGAGATCAGAGAGGCCCCCTTGCACCTCGGCCAACAACTCATTCAAGGATGTGCCTGGAATCCGGAGCACAAGTTGGACGAGTTCAGTTTGGTACTGGGGGCAAAGCACAGAAAAGTACTTCGTACTAAGAGGACCAGCAGGTCTGCCGCTTTGCTCTTCAGCAGTGGGAACTGGATCTGGGGCACCCCTACCATTGTGAGTGTCACCTGTGGCAAAACCTAGACCTGCAGCAGAAGAAGGTTCTGGGATAAGAGGCTGAACTTGCTGAGAGGCACCATTTGACAAAACCCTTTCAGTCCCCCAAACTACGCGTTCAGGTGAGGGTTCATGATCAAAACTGTCATCAGGTACATCGGCTGGGACTTGCATGGCTTGGCTAAAGCAAACAGTGGTGCCGCTTAGAAGAAGCGAGAGCCATTCCGGCGCACTCCAAACCTGTTGCGGGAGTGTGAAAAAGCCGAGGATCCAAAACCAAGGTTGCCAGACATGCGGATTTGGAGCCCGGAAAGAGCGCACTCCCTTGCGACGTCGTGGGGTCTGCAAGCTCCGGGAGTCCTGAGATGGGGATATGGTCTTAAAGCAGGTGGCAAGGTCTCTGCCTGCCCCGGCACTGACGGCAACCAAACAGCGACCCAAAGGTTCACGATTGTCTGTCATAGCTCGAAAGAGCAAATGCAGTAAGGCCACAAAAAGCAGCAGGAACAATCCCCGTGCAAATGGCAGCAAGATTGAGGAGGTGACCAACAGGAAATGCAAGGCAAGGTCATCCCAAACTGTTTGGTCTGTCTGGTCACTAGGACGAATTGGAGAGGGAATACCGGCGAACACCCCAGAGCTACCGATGTGTTTCTTAAGCGCTCGGATCTTTTCCCTCCCAAAAGTCCACTGGTATTGCACAAGCTGCTCATGGGCTGCAGGCATTGGAGCCTCAGCTTGCGGCAGGGGCATGCCAACAGGAACTCCAAACTCCAAGGAGAGCCACGGGCCGCCGGAGGAAGACGAAGAACAGCAAGGAGAGTTATGAGCCGTATGGAAGGTGTGAAGCCCAAAGGACCTGTCAGAGGACAGCTCGGTACACTGCTTCGTGGGAGGAGGTCCTGAAGTGGGTGGCACACGAAATGCATCAGGGCGTCCAACAATACGGACTAGAGGCACGACGGACATGCCCTCCCAAAGTTCAACACAAGACCCGTGCTGAAATTTGAGGGGAGAGGGATTGAAAGTACAGCTGACAACCTTCACAAGAGCCCAATGTGAAGAGTCATCATCATATGCACTTTGTTGGGAGGCACAGTGGAGGAGGAGTGGTTGAGGAGGAGCCAAGCATCTGCAGTCTAAACGGTGAAACCGCAGAGATCTGCAGGCAGCTCTTGTGGACGGTCCATTGAAATTGCATTGGCCGACGGAGAACCCGGGAGCAAGCCATCTCCCCATTGAGATGGCAGGCTCACCTAGCTCCGGCAGTCTGCGATTCCAAAGTGCCGCCAACAATCGCGTCTGAGACCTCTGCCTACAAAGGCCCTCCAAATAACATCTCACTCCATGCCTGATAGGCCTGGACGCTGACCGCCCGGATCGGCAGGCTTGTCCATCTGGCTCAGCTCGTCGTCCTCGGCGATGGTTGTGGTACCATCTTGTCCATGAGTCATCCCAGCTGGGTTGAGACCGAATGGGAACATAGCCCTTTTTTCTCCAAGCTTCTGGGCAATGTCGCCCTTGTCTGCTTTCGTCCCATCCAGGGTGTCGTGGGCTGAGTTTTTGCCAACCTCGTATGGGTTGACTCGGGGCGATGTGGTAGACGTGTTGCGGAGCCGAGGCGAGGCTTGATACGGTCCTGGCCCATGTGCTTCCACATATGAAGGTGGTACAGGCATGCTCGTTTGCAGTCCTGTGTGAGGCACTTCCGCCGATGGTATACCACCAGATGTAGTAGGGAGCGTAGCCGGTGAAAGTCCCGGCGGACCAGACCCTCCCATAGCCATCTGTGGAAAGGCTGCCAATGTAGCTTGTAAAAGCCTGGCTGCAGCTTCCGGAGTCATCATACCTGAGGGACCTGCTGCAGGAGCCGGAGCACGTAGGTTGTTGGCTGCCGCGAGGGCATCCTGTAAGAACCCGGCTGGAGCAGCAGGCTCGCGTGTTGCTATCAAAGCATCCCAGGGATCTTCCACCGCTTCCATGGGAGCTGCCACAGCGGGCCGTTCGCCGTTCACGATCGCCTGTACATTCTTGGCCGCACTCTGTCCCGCTTCCGTAGCTGTCCGTATATCTTGCTCTATTCGTTGCAAGGCTTCTTCGTACCGGGTCAGCTCTGCCATGTAGTCGTCCCTCGCTTTCTTGGCAAACACCTTCCACTGAGCCTCCTTGGTGGTTCGTTCGTCTTTGAGACGACGAACTTTGCCATCTGCCTTCTTGGCGATCGAGACCGCCTTTTGGACTTCCCGCATCACATTGTATCCCTCGATATTTTCGGCGGGGATTGCCGTAGCAGGAGTTTCCGCCTGCAACTCCACTTGGTCGTATGCTGGCCGCGAGCCAGATGACTTGGCACGCGGCGAGGCAGCATACGATCCCGGCCAAAGATGACCTGCCCACGGTGGCTTTCCACCTTTCCATTCCTTCCATTCCTTGGCGGACCATTTTTTGCCGCCCATGCCCTGTGGCCGTACTGGGCCTCTGCGGTATCTTGGCCGAGAGTGATGGCCCTCTAACAAGGACAAGTCCCTGGAAAGCGGTGGGAGGCCAATTGCCCGTCTGGCTCGTATACGTGCCCTTCCTCGAGAGCGACGCGACCTTTGCCGCCGATGCCAGGCAGGGCTCCGGTGGATCCCCGTTATGGCGAAGCAAGGCAGAGGACGCTATGAAACGTGCACTAAATGCACTGGGGCCGCAGCTATCCTCGCTGAGGTTGTTCTGAGCCCTATATATATATATACATACATGTATATGTGTGTATATAACTTACACTAGCTTCCTTAAGGCAAAAACCCTGGAGTCGGTGGCCCTTGTGCCAGAGCGATGTCATTCGGTTGATGATATAAATCCCTAGGGTTCCTTTAAAGGGATCTATAGGGGTACCTTTAAGGGGCTCCTTTAAGGGATCTATAGGGGTTTAGGGTTTTGGGATATAAATCCTGCATTACCTTAAGGACCCTAAACTATGGGAATTATGTTATTTTCCTTATTATGGGGACCCTAAACCCTAAACCCTAAACCGTCATAGTTCCCATAGTTTAGGGTGCTTAAGGTAATGCAGGATTTATATCATGAACCGTTCGAGGCCCTACCGGCCTACGAAATTGCTACGCGAGGCCACGGGCGGGCCCCGGCCATCATAAATATTGGGGCCTTAATGGAATAGGGTTCCTTTGAAAGGGATCCTCAAAGGGGTCTATAAGGATCTATAGTAGGGTTCTATAACATAGGGGACTTAGTAATTAGAATAGGGTTTGGGGGCCCATGATACTACAGTTATAATAAGGAACACCCCCAAAAATAGTATAGCCCCTGTAGTATCTTTTTGTTGAGCGCCTTTTTCCATCCGCCTATTGGTGTCCGGAACTTCTAAGTCAGACCAGACGTGCCATCATAGTTTCCGGGCATAGGGCGTTGGGGGTTTAGAGTTTGGGAGATGGAAGTGGGCGTGTTGGAGTAACTTACCTTGGGTTAGTAGGGAAGGGAATGGAGGAAAGGGGTACAACTATAACTACTATTACTTGTTACTACCATTCTTCCATTCCCTACTAACCAAAGGCAAAGTAAACCGTAGCATCGTAACGCCCTGAACCCTAAACAGGCCCTAGTCCCTAAACCCTACATAAACCCTAAACCCTAAACCCTAAGCAGGCCCTAAATGCCCCACCGCAAATCTCAAACCGCACGTTTCGGGAACCCTCCCAGCCAGGTCTTCACGCACCAGCAGCCCCAAGAAGAAGTACAGAAAATCTAGGGTTTACTTACCTTTGCTTTGGTTAGTAGGGAATGGAGGAATGGGGTACAATTATAGCTACTATTACTACCATTCTTCCATTCCCTACTAACCAGAGGTAAGTTTAGGGCTTCTAAAGCATCCTACTATCCCGTAAAGCCCTTTTCATCCCTATTCACTCTAAGATGCTCAAGTCGCGGCTACTCGAACCTGCTTTTTCTAGGCATCTTGCGCACTTGGCGACATGAGGACCCCAAACCGAAGCAGGCCTCAGCCTCAAACCATGAACCCTTCTTCCCATTCAGGCGGTTAAGGGAAGCCCGAATACCGGAGCCTTAACCGATAGGAATAGGGTTCATGCAGGGCGTGCTATTGAAAAATTTGAAAGTTTTCTGTCCGCTAAACCCTACAGTAAACTGTAAACCCTCCATAGCCACCCTCCCCAACCCTTTCCGCCTGGTAGTTGGCCATGCCCATATTGCCGTAGTAATCACCGAAGTAGTTGTTGGTGAAGATCCCCCTCGGTTTCGGAAACCCTATACCCTATACATCGGGTACGGCCCCCACTCAGTAATAGTTGAATAACATTCATAATATATAGATACATTAGGACCGTAATAGTAGCCCTTATAGACTCTTAGTGTATGGGGGCAGTACCTACCCTAAACATATGAAAAGCTATGCTTTCACCTCTGGGACATGCTGAAAACGAAAACACAAACTCAAAAACAAATAAGCAAACCCGGTTTCGTCCAAAGTGTACAGAGAAGAGTTCACTCAATAGCCATACTATTCGGTAAATACCTATGAGTATTCTAAGTATTCAAGGCTCGAAAACGCCTTCGCAAGGGTCTTCTAAGCGTGGCTCCTTCGCAGGCATGTCGACTAAATAACTCTTTCCTCTAAACCCTTGGCCGACGAGTGCGTGGACCTAAGATGAAATCTGATCTCTAAGGTTGAAACCATGGGCCCCCAGCATGGTCCCTCAACCCTGCGATCCTTCTATACCTAATATGAATATATATATATATATATATATATATATATATATACTGGGTTGTGCTTTGAACCCTTTGCAAATTACTTATGAATAGGTTCCCGTACAAGGAAATAAGGGAAATTAAACATCATCCCAAAGCGCAACCCAATATATATATATATATGTATATATATATATATATATATATACCCCATATGTACCCTTTAGGGTCCCTTAAAAGTGCAAGGGATGATCCCCGCCCGCCTCGGGAGGCCACGTGTTGGAAGAAGTCCCAAAAAAAGGGTTAGGGTTTTAGGACATATAGGGGCTCCTTTAAGGGGGTCTACAAGGGCTCCTTAAAGGGATCTATAAGGGTTCTGTGGGGGTTTAGGGCTTAGGGCCTCGGGTTTCGGGGTTTTTGTTTAAGGTTTAGGATTTGAACGAGTCACGCCAATCCTCAAGCGAAAAGGAAGACAAGAAGCGGAGATCTCAGGGTGAGGGATTGGGATTTCGGTTTAGGGTGCACTGCAGTGCTGTTTTTTTAAGCCCCTTCTTGATGTCTGCCAGACAGTCGGCCGACGCCAAGGCCAAGAATGTGTTTGGGGTTTAGGGTTTAGCATACAGAGCCATGGGGCTTGATAGGGTCCATTTCATACTTGCCACCCTGCGCGTCGTAGGCCATGTTCCAATACGGCATGGCCTGTCAGTGTTCGAGGTTTCGCGCGAGAGACGGAACCGCTAACACCCTAGTGACTCAGTGCAGGGTGTCTGCAGCCCTTCATCTCAAATCCTAAACCGCAAAGAGGTCGGGTTGGGGCTTCACGCCTACGATTCCGGCAGGGATGGGGCGCCACTTGATTTTGGTATGCACTCCTCCACCACATCAGGTTATTCGGGTTTGCATTAACTCATCCGTAACGGAAACAATCAAAAGCCAAAATGCAATGCAAGGGTGAAAAACATGCTGTTCAACCAGTGATATGCACTCCGCGCCTCGATCGAGGGATCCACTGCAAGCAGTGCCAACTCGTACCTAGGGCAGGGGTCCTATACGGGGCCTTACAGGCGTCCCGAAAAGGGGCCTCAAGGTTTAAAGCTTCGGGGTTTAGGGTTTTGAAAGAAATGGGGCCGCACCCACCCACCGCGCACCGGCGTGAACCCGAAACCCCTGAAACCTGAAGCCCCTAAACCCTAAAACCCCCTACTTGGAGGATCATGGGACTTAGTAAGTCAGGTTATAAGTACCTTAAGTGGGCTTACAAGTGCTTATAAGTATAGTTACCCTATTTATAACCCCAGTTACTACTAAGTCCCATGATCCTAAAAGTCCTAAAACCCAAGCCCAGGCACTTCAGAAGCAAAGCGCGATGGAAGGTCATGAACTGGGGGCCAAAGTGCCCCTCGTCGCCTTGCTGCTTGGAGGTTTGTCGGTGGTTCCTTTACGAACCCTGAACCCTTAACGGATTTCGTCTAAGGCTCCTTTTAGGGCTCTTTGAAGGAACCCTTAAAGGAGTTTTAAGGGCTCCTTTTAGGGCCCCTGGAAGGAATTCCTCAAACGGGTTCCTTTAAGAAACCTGCACTAGGACCCTTCGATTGATTACTTGCGGCAGCCCTGAGCCGACAACCCCCCCAGAGACTCCAATATCCCTTAACTAAGGAATATACCTTAAATCATATAAGGGATCCTACCATATAATTAAGGGATATTGGAGTCTCTGGGCCCTCTAGTAGGCCCCAGGCTAAAAGCCCAGAATGGAGGTTTCTTAGCAAAGGGGAACCCGAAACCCAAATGCCCTGGGGTTCTGCTGGGAGTGTCCGTTTAACAAGGAGCTTACGATTAGTGTGTGGATTACGGTCGCCGAACCCTGAACCCTAAACCACTAAACCCTAAACCCCTAAACCCTGATAGATACCCTTTGAGAACCCTGAAAGGAACCCTCAACCCTAATTTAAACCCTTTTTAGGAACCCTAAAACCCAAACCCTAAACCCCTAAACCCTAAACCCTAAACCCAAACCCTAAACCCCTAAACCCTAAACCCTAAACTCCTAAACCCCTAAACCCTAAACCCCAAACCCCTAAAACCCCAAACCCCAAACCCCAAACCCCCAAAGGCTCTGGAAGCCAGGCATGGGCCCCGGCATCGGGGATCTGTGGTGGCGCAGGAGTGGAGCATCAGCATATCCTCGGACCCGGCACTGGGGACCCAAAAAGGCACATAAGCATACGCCTTTTGTGGGGAGATCCCTACCTTGAGGGCTTCCTTTTAAAGGGGGTTTATATGGGATATCCCTACCCTAATTTTGGCTTATGTGCTTTTGGGGGACCCTAGCCATGGTGATGGCTTGAAATCTTAGGGCGGCTGGTGGTTGAAAGGGTAAAAACCCTAGAAACAGCCCAACCCCATAGGGTTCTGGCATCAAGTTTATGGGGTTCTCTTGTTTACGGGCTCATGGCTTAAGAGGGTGCGTGAGCTTTAAAGTGCGGTGTTTGGGCGCTTATGTCCTACGGACGGACGGGATCACGCCGGCTGTGGGGTTGGGGGCTCATGGCTTTCTGGGTTCTTGTTAAGGAACTTAATTTAAGTTACCATAATAAGGAACCCTAAACCCTAAACCCTAAACCCTAAACCCTAAACCCTTATTTACGATAGACCCCTATCATGGTAACTTAAATTAAGTTCCTTAACAAGAACCCAGCTTTAGAATCATCTGAGTGAACAGGGTTCAATGACTTAAGGGTTCGGGTCCGTTGGATTCAATCTCGGGGGTGGTGGTACCAGGGAGCTATAGTTTAGGGTTTAGGGGTTTAGGGTCTAGGGTTTAGGGGTTTAGGGTTTAGGGTTTAGGGGTTTAGGGTTTAGGGTATAAATCTGTCGCTTCAAGAGTTGATAGCTTCAGCGGTTTGCTCGTGGAGCCTAGGGGGATTTAGGCTGTGCGGTTTAAGGCTTCGCGAAGCTATGGAGTCTATAAGCTGCTGTGCAAAGACTTGAAGCTCAAGAGGAGGCCGCCACAGTTCGTTGGAAAAAGGAAGGATGCCAGCACGGCTTGTAGACAAAAGAAGACTCGGAACATTAGTCCTGGTGGGACTTTAAGACATGGGTTTTCCAAAATTTATGGGACCCCAATGTAGCACTCAATTACGAATATAAGGATCCCAAAATGAGGTACCCTAATTTTCGGAAACTCCCATATAATGTTCAAACTTCTAGCCAATAGACCTGAATCCCAAGCCAAGCCCCAGCTCCAAAACTTTCGCTCCAAGATACAGGTTCTACACCATGAGCCTTCCACCAAAAACCCCCCCACCCCCTGGACGGAACCCCTGTGTGCTTCGGTTTTGGGTATGGCTTGTATAGAAGCCCCTTACAGGTGGGTAGTTCTTCTTCCATAGTACTCCCATAAGACCCCCTTTACCTCATAGGAGTGGTATGGGAGGCTTATGGGAAACTACCCACCTAATAACTACCCACCTGTAAATGGCTTAGATTGCAGGATTGTAGTTCCTTTTTGGGGTTCATATATTAGAATCCTATAAGGTAATCCCAAAAAGGAACTACTTTGGGGTGGCTTGTAGGAGTATGGTCCAGGTTGTCAGGATTTGCGACCTGGGGCTTACGTAGTCGCCCAAACCCTGGCAACCCCAACCCTGAACCCGAAACCCTCTCGTCTCGTCCCTGAACCTGGACCCAAGAGTAGCTTAGGAATAAAAAGGGTGCCCTTTTTGGTTTAAAGGGGCTTTTAAGTGGACCGGAACCCTTAAAAAGGGAATGAGGGCCTACTCTAGGTCCTAGAAACCTCAACCTTAAGCCCTGAACCCTAGGCTCTGAGCTCTAAGCCCTAAGCCCTAAGCAAGCAAAGTCTCGTCGTGGTTGTGGAAGTTTGGCCCATACAGTGCCTGGCCCTCCGCCTGCGTGAGGGTCTTCACCTTCCAGAACGCATCGGCCACCTGGCAGGGAGCTTCCAGTTTTGGCTCAGTTCTTGGGGTTTAGGGTATACGGTCTGGGGTTAAGGGTTTAGGGTTTAGGTTTTTTTTTCGGGTTGTTTAGGGGTTTGGAGCTTCGGGTTCTGGCTCAGTTGTTGGGGTTTCGGGTTTACTTTCACCCTGAAGAACCTACCTTTTTAAGGACTTATATAAGGAAATCATAATAGGGACCTAAAACGGTTTAGGGTTTAGGGCTCAGTTGTTGGGGTTTGGGGTTCTGGGTTGTGCTTTAAACCCTTTGAAAATTATTTCTGAATAGGTTCCCTTTATAAGGAAATAAGGAAATTAAACATTATCCCAAAGCACAACCCAGGGTTTAGGGTTTAGGGTTTTGCAGACCCCTGGAGCCCCGAAGGGAAGGTAGCAGCCTCAAGAGTTGGACACTGTGCTGGTGTAGATCACACTATGTACGTTTCATAGTATAGGCGGCCTCGGATGCAGACTAGACCCTAAACCCCAAACCCCCCCAGAGACTCCAATATCCCTTAATTAAGGAATATTCCTTAATTCATGGTAGGATCCCTTATATGACTTAAGGTATATTCCTTAATTAAGGGATATTGGAGTCTCTGGGCCCAACCGGAAACTCTAAACCATGAACCCCCAACCTGAAACCCCAAACCCTAATTCAAGGGCCCCCTGCCTTTTGCTTCATCTCGTCGCTCAGCGTTCGCCACTCACGTCGGACGCGTGGCTTGTTTTTGAACCTTCGGCGTTAGGGCGTAGGGTTGTTTTATGGTTTTGTGGTTTTTGTTTGAAGCTTGTTCCCCAGTTTGAACCTGTGGGTTCTTCTCTTCAGGGTCTGTAGCTCTGGGTTTAGGGTTTAGTGTAAGGGTTCAGGATTTGGTGCTGCCTTGGGTTTAGGGTTTAGAGTTGCTCTTTGGACATGCTTTGGCTGGGTGTTTTCGAGTGTAGGTTCAGGGGTCGGAACTCCATACAATATGTGAGAGCCTTGAGGCCAAGACCTACACTTGACGACGGCACAAATTGCACGCGAATTCCTGACAGCAAGAAACTCGAGAATAAGCGAGAGAGTTCTTGCATGAGGGCTCGGAACCGCTTTGCGCGTACCGGCGCGTTGACTCCTACCAGCAACGTCATCACCTTCGTCCCGATCAACGCACCACCGCGAACGACCACCTGCGCCACCCTTACCCCTACCATCAAGCAATAACATAATGACAAGAACCATCATCAGCATACTTAAACACCACCATCATCGGCCCACCATCGTCATAACATGTACAACCGTCGTTCGTGCTGCACCCCGAACTACTGCAACAGTTGTTGGAAGGCCCACAGTCACCGGTACCGAATTCCTGTCCGCCCCGCAAACCTGAAGCCAGAGTTGGCTAAGCTCATACGTCGGCTTGATAAAATAAGGAAGGTTTCGTCAATGTCATGTGAAGCACGCCATAGCTTGAGAAATTTAGGGTTTCGAAAACCCTCAACCGAAAATTAAAAAAAAACAAAACAACTGCGGCCGCGCGACCTGATTGTCTTACCGTCGAACACCTCCCATCTTCGATTCGCGTTATCCTGCTGATCAGCATCCCAATTCCTCGGCGTGCTTCAAGGATCATTGGACTTAGTAAGCTGGATCATAACTAACTACGCTTGTAGTTCTGATCGCAAACCCTGGTCCAGGTATGAAGAATTATACTTACGAGGTCTCCGCATCCTTCTACTATAGAGTTCCCTGATCCGTATAGTAACCCTCATAGTAGACCTCAGTAGCTCTAATAGTAACCCTTTCCGAACTCTTGGAGCCCTATATACTTGCTAACTATCCTAATCCTTGAACCCTAAAGCCCTAAGCCCTGAACCCTAATCCCTAATCCCGAGAGTCGGCTCTCAAAAGCCATACCTTGCGGCGTCTGACAAGGCCATCACCTCCGATCACCCTTCACAATTTTTGCCGATCCTACAGACTTGCCCAAGTAGGGGCTGGGGTTTGGGGCTTTAGGGTTTAGGGTTTGGGGTTTTAGGGTTTAGGGTTTTAGGTTTTAGGGTTTTAGGGGTCAGGATTTAGGGTTTAGGGTTTAGGGTTTGTCATGAAATGCTCAGGCATCTGTGCGCGTGTTTGCTTTTCTGCAGGTTTGGTGTTGGCGTCTCAGTGTGGCGAATTCTCTAGGGGCCCATGGTACCTACGGACCGCTAATGCAGGGGCCTCAGTAAGTAGAATGGGGTGTTGGGGGTATTTCAGAATATACGTCTACAAGGGCTATAAGGGTCTGCTAGTGCTAATTATTCCGACCCCTACATGTCAAACCCTACATGTAAAGCCCCGACACCCAAATCCGTGAGCCCTTTGAACTCACACAAGTTCATAAGCATCCATGGACACAACTTTGCAAAACCAGCCATACGGACACATACACCTGTATACGGATGCATACCACGCAAAAGGAGCTATATGTGTACTCGCCAGAACCTCTAGCATGAAGCATACATACATACATACATACATATATACATATATTATACAGAAAGATGATGTAATGTGTGTATATATAACACATATGTATATACATATTCTACATATGTGCATGATGCAGAAAAGACGACGAGAGCGAGCTGCGTCTTCTTGTGTTTCTTGAACGCTTCGAGCCTCTCCTCGCTCGCAGGTTTCTCTTCACAGATTTCCTAGCATACCCAGTAACCTACGAATAAAAAGGCCTCTCTTTTTGGTATTGGGTAACTTTATAAGGAACCTAGGACTACAAAAAGGGAATAAGGGTACTACTGGGCATCCTAGTTTCGGGGGGGGGTCGGGCCGGGGGTTTCAGTTTCGGGGCATCGGGCCGGGGGTTTAGGGGGTTTAGGGGGTTTAGGGGTTTAGGGGGTTTGGGGGGTTTGGGGGGTTTAGAGGGTTTAGGGGTTTAGGGGTCTAGGGGGGTAGGGGGTTTAGGGGCTTCGGGGTCTAGGGCTTAAGGATTTAAGCTTGGGGTTTCCAGTTTGGGGCTTTAGGGCTTCTCCAGGAACTTTCGAGGCTGCCTGGAAACCTCAGGCCGATGGAGCTCTTTGAGATTGCTCTAAGGATTCACTACGTGGTGTTCGAGGGTTTAGGGTTTAGGGTTTAGGGGGATTTGAAAGCTGGAAAAAGGGATCCCACACCCCGGAACCCCCCAAAAAAATTGCAAAACTCTGCAACCCCTGCATCCTAAACCAACAAACACGCTGCTGCTCCTTGTGCCACTGCCACACCTTTCCTGGGTTTTTGGTGTAACCAATGGGAAAATTGTATAAAAGGTTATCTTTTCATAATGGTTCCTTTAAGAAAAAAGGTATAAAATGTATACATAATGGCTCCTTTTAAGAAAAACGGTACAAAAGTATGGTACTCCAAAGCCCAGTCGCCCACGCCCCACGCTTCCTGCGCTTCTGGCTGGCCCTCCACCTGAGCTGGCGTTTGGCTTTAGGGTTTGGGTTTTGTAAAACTTCTAATGAGCGATACACAAGCTTTTGGGCTTAGACTCCAAAGTTTGAGTAGGGCTTGAATAGTTTTTTGTTTGTTCACCTTTCTCCGTCCACCTAAAGCCTTTAGAATCTGGAACTTCAATACGGTTGATGATATAAATCCTGCATTACCCAGAATAAGGAATATACCATAATTCCCATAGTTTAGGCTCCTTAAGGTCATGCAGGATTTATATCATAAGCCCTAAACCCTAAAACCCTATATTGATCCCTTCAAGGAAGCCCTTAAAGGCACCCCTATAGATCCCTTTAAAGGAACCCTAGGGATTTATATCATCAACAGTAGGTTTTAGGGTTTCGGCCTTCAAGGTTTTAGCGGCTCGGGGCTTCGGCTCAGCTTGCACGGGATGAAGCCCTGAGGCTCCGGAGCTCAGGGTACCCAGAGACTCCAACATCCCTTAATTTAAGGAATAGACCTTAAATCACATTTTTTTGGGATCCTACTATAACTTATGGTACATATATTCCTTGATTAAGGGATATTGGAGTCGCTGTGTAGTGTAAGGTTTGGGATTGAGGTGTTGGGTCATTGAGGGTTTAGAATGTTTTGTTTCGGGCTCAGGGCGTAGTAAGGTTTGGGGGATGGTTTGGGGCTTAGGATTAAACCCTAAACCCTAAACCCAAAGCCCCTAAACCCCTAAAACCCTAAACCCCTAAACCCTAAACCCCTAAACCCTAAACCCCTAAACCCTAAACCGTCTACAAAGCCCGTCTTTCCCCCTTTCAGGGTTGACGGTCCTAACGGCGCATGTGATTTGGGTAAATGGGGGTTTCCGAAAAATAGGGGGGCCCTAGTATAGTACCCTAAGTAGTAGGATCCTTATTGTGGCATGCCGGATAAGGCTTAGAGATTGGTTGGTTGCTGCGAGGGGTCTGATGCGTAACGAAATCCGGACATCCGAAATCTAGGGACCTTATCAACTAGGACAAGGTTATGGGGTATGTTTTAGTATAATTTTATGGGGCCATCGCTATAACTGCTCCGACCCCTTTCTTCTTACTCAGAACACCTGAACATTTCGACCACCAATGCTCCCAAGAACCTGAGCCTTAAACCCTAAATCTTATATAAAGCCTAAGCTTAACCGTTAACCTTACAGAGTATATTCTTCTTCGCCCCTAAAACCCCGAAGAGATGAGTGGTCCTGTAAATGAAGCCTCACACCCGAAAACCTGAAACCCCACTCCCCCCTTGGAACCCCTTGAAAAACCCTTTTAACATCTTTTAAACCCGTTTAAACCATTTAAAAGCCTTTGAAAACCCCTAAAACTCCTTGAAACCCCAGAAGATCCTCAAAAGCTTTAAGAAGCCCAAGAGGTCAACTACTTGGGCCAGGGGCCATGGAAGGTGATCCGAACCGCTGAGCCAAGAACTCCGGTGATTTCCTCGCGTCAGGGTTCAGGGTTTAGGGTGGTTTTGGGTTTAGGGTTTGGGCTGGTTTAGGGGTGGTTTGGGCTTAGGGTTTAGGAATAGGGTTTGGGGTTGGGGTGGTTTGGGGTTTAGGGTTTGGGGGTTTAAGTTTAGGGCTGAGGGTTTTTGGGGGTTTAAAGGTCAATGGTCGAGGGAATATGAGGGTCGGAATAATCAGAAACGTATCCCCTTATGACCCCTATATAGCTGTACAAAAATGAGCCACGAACCCTATTCTAACTATGAAGGCCTCTGCGTGAAGCTGTTGAAACCCTAAACCCTAAACCGCAATCCCTGTAAATCCCTACCATCGCATCAATGCAACATTAGAACAAATAAGTCCTCTGCATTAATATAGGGGCTTAAATTATTACCAATGATATTTTGGGGGGTTCTTATTACAATAATTATCGTATACTGGCCCCCAAAACCCTAATTATTCTAAGGCCCCTATATTACCTTGAAATCGAGTTTGCTCGGGCCATGGGTTCAATTGCTCAAACAGTGTGGAAAGACTATGGGGGAGTACGCTCAGGGTCGTCCTAATGGCATGCTTCAGGCATGGTCTTTCACTGTTTGGGAATCTCCGCTGCCATTGTGAGGGTAACGCAAGGGTTTCCAGAAACGTTTCTTTAGGCTTAGTTGCCGTGTTCATTAGCCTAAAAAAGTTTACACTTTCAGCTTTGGACAGGGTTTCATTATTGCAGAAAGTTTAAAGTTTATCAACCCAACTACTAAGTAGGGGTCTCCTCATAAACTTTGAGGCCTTGGGTGGTCGTCTCGGTTCGAGGGTTGAGGGTTTGGGCGATGTGGGATGTAGCCCTGGGTTCGCCCAAGCCAAGGGTCTGCAAGGCCACCCAGCACAAGCCCAACACCACTAGCACACCAGCGCCGGTGAGGAGTTTCCTGCCAGGGCTTCCCGCGTAAATGGAGGAGTTGAGGGTTTAGGGCTTAGGGTTTAGGAGGGGTTCTTCATGTTGGTGTTCCTTTCGCGGGCACTATGAAGGATCCTAAACTGGTTACGGTCCACACTAGGCTACCCTTTTTCGTTTAGGGCTTAGGGATTGAAGCTTAGGCTTTACACCCCAAGCCATGAGACCCAAAAAGCAAAACTCCTGCAGATTGAAGCATATGGACCACAAGCCCCAAACCCCACAACAAAAAAGACGAACCCTGACCCAAATCCCAGACCGAAACCCCCGAAACCCCAAACACGAGGCTGGTAGATCCTATACTGAGCATTCCTTAACTATAAGGAATTCTATAAGGGTTACTATGAGCTTTTTGGAGTTTAGGGCCTTGGCATTCACGGTTGAGAGTTGTCTAAGCTTCTTGTAACAGGACTTTACAAGGATTCGCGGCCTCATGGGTAGCGATCAGTATGTAAGTACCCTCATAGGAGCCACATAACTAGTATAATGTTAAGATGAACCCCCCCCCGCCTGATGACGTGATGAAATCCAGAAACTAGAACAATCACAACAATCAAGCCTACATCAACAGGCTTGACACGAGAACTAAAAGCACATGCAACACGACTTGGAAAAAAAAACATGAATATCAGAAACCGAGAAGCACAAACTAACAACATGGAACGAGATCACGCTCCTTTTTATAGTGTTGAGTTTTCGAATTTGTGTATCCGTCTCTTGCCCCTGTTTGTCTGATTGGGCTTGGATCTGGGTCCGGCGTGGTCTCAGCATGTATTCATTTTCTCCATTAATTGAAAGCCGTCTTTAATGTACCAGTAACTAGTTCCCCATGTATGTCACACTAGTTTCGTTCGTGTTCCATCAATTTCTTGTCGATGTCTTTTCCGGTGTTTGCCGCGTTTCCCCATATTCTCAGCTGAATCTAGTTGCATTCCGTTTGTGTTTCCGTCGCTTCGGTGTTTTGCGAACTTCCGGATTTGAGATCTACTGCAACTGGGGAGAAATCAGACCCCGAATCCAATGGAAACGAAAATTGAAATTGAAACAATACTTTAAAACAACAAATCAGACAGCATCCACGAGGCAGATGATGACATGAAGCCCAAACACCTATTCGCGACATAGATGCCTGCCCCCAGAGTTTGCTGTACAACCAGAAGCCGCATAAGTTTCCGAGCACTGACGTTGCCGCAGACAAGCCTTCGTTTGCCCTGGCGCGATCAGCTTCCTACCCTAAACTGCCCTAAACCTTTATACCATGATAGCGCCCCTGTTCTCACCGCCGCGAGAGTGTCATCCCATTACGGTTAATGTTTCGCGCGCCCGAACTCTAACGGCAATCTGAAAAATCATTTTTCGAAATTTCCATAGCTCATACTTTCAACAGGACCGGGTCATCTTTAAACTCATGATCACTATAGCTAGTTGGTTTACTTTTACCCCCACTATCAGATTCCGAAACGTGTCCCTGTGGGTGTTCCTCAAAGTCTCCTCGTCGCCCGCGTTCACTGGTCCGAGTTTAGGATTGACGGGCTGTGCGAAAAAACGTATCCTTAAACTACCATGGAACCCCGAATGGCACCGTGCAAGGGCAATACTCCGAGGTGTGACGGGTTGCAGGCTTTGCTCCTTCGGGTGAACGGACAAAACTGGTGGCACCTGAAACCTACATCTCTTCTCTGAGTGTGAAGCTATCAAACCAGGGCACGAACGGGCAGCCGTTTTAGCACCAGGCCACTGTTTAAGAACCGGTTTCGCCCCTTGTGGGCTCGTTCAGCTTAAAGCCCTAGGGCATGTCCGTGAATCCGAAGCTCTAAACTCTAAACCCGCAGCAACTAAGCCCTAAAACCCTAGACCATGAGCCCTTAGACCCGAATACCTCGTCCTCAACCCTAAACTCCCTCAACCCTAAACTCCCTAAACTCCCTAAACCCCTGAACCCTAAACCCTAAACCCTAAACTCCCTAAACCCTAAACTCCCTAAACTCCCTAAACCCTCAACCCTGAACTCCCTAAACCCTGAACCCTCAACCCTAAACCCCTAAACCCCTAACCCCTGAACCCTACAGCCCCCTCAACCCTGAACTCCTGCAGTGGCAGTGGGGGCGTTGCTGGCTGCCAAAGCCAGGACCGTGGCCGGGCTGTTCTTCGTCGGAGGTGGGAAGCTGCTGCCTCTATCAGGGCTCTTTCCTTTAAGGGATCCTTTAGGGGGATCTGTTTATAGGGATCCTTCAAGGGACCTTTTGAGGGATCCGTTATGGGATCCTTTAAGGGATCCTTTAAGGGATCCTTTAGGGGATCCTTTAAAGGATCCCTTAACGCGATCCTTTAAGGGATCCTTTAGGGGATCCTTTAAGGGTTCCCATGTAGGACCCTCATCACATGATCCCTGTCGGTCCCTTTAAAGAAACTCTGAAAGGATCCCTTTAAAGAACCTTCAAGGGATCCTTCATAATTGCGGGTCCTTTCAGGGATCCTCTACGGGGTTCAGAGTTTAGCGTGTTGGGTTTCGGGTTCAGAGCTTAGGGTTCCGGGGACGAAGTATCTCAGAACTGAAACCATGCTCCCAAAGAAGCTGAACTAAATTAAACCCTAAACCCTAGACTTTCCAAAACCCTAACCATTCCGAAACCCCTAAACGTGCGTAACCCTGAACTCGAAGCCCTAAACATTCCCGAATCCTAAACGCTCCTAAACCCTAAACTCGAAATCCTGAACATTCCTGAACCAGCTGAGTGGCATCTGGGACACTGTCATCCCTACGATTACCTCGCCCGAGGCTGCTCAAGACCAATCCGGCTGCAGCAAGTAGGGCTTAGGCTTGAGGTTGAGGGTTTAGGGTTCAGGGCATCGGGATCAGGACCGAGACCCTAACAACGCTCCTGCTTGCGACATGTGGGGTCTTGGCTCTACTTTTGAGAAACCTGCCCCCGATGCTGTCTCTACCAAACACCCTAAACCCTAAACCCTAAACAACCCAAAAATCGAGCCCGAGGTCGCAACGCAGCTGGCAAAACACAAAAATCCAGACCCTTTAGTCCCTCCGAAACCTAAACACTCCTTGCCCAAAGCTCTTATAAGCCCTAAACACTACACCCCAAACCCTAGGTTTAGGGTTTAGGGTTTAGGGTTTAGGGTTACCCTAATATGTTTCCTAAGCCCGCAAATGCCCAGAAAACCCCAGAAAACCCCAAGCCTGAACCCGAAGCGCCTTAAGCCCCAATGCTGACCCTCACAGTACCTTAAGGACGACATGCCCTAAAAGGGTTTGAGGTTCATATACCATATAGCGATACATAGTATATGGGTATAGGCCTCCTACTTTTAAGGATTTCTTGGTCCCTCAGGAGAATGTAGCACGCAGAGCAAGTCCTTAAAAAAGATGGTGACCCTTGCAGGACCCCTTACACCCCGCTAAGTCCTGCAAAAACCGCGAAAGCAACCCGGCAGTCCCACTATAGCTAGGATCAGAGTAGCGTGTAGTAGCAATGGACCCCTGTAACCCCAAAAACCCTGAACCCTCAACCCTTAAACCCTGCTACCTAGCACCCCCCCCCCCCCCGACCCTAAACCCTAAACCGCTAAACCCTACAGTAGAAGCCAGAAAGTTGGAATATCATTATCGTAACCCCTTTAAGGTAAATTATAGGGGATCCTACCATTAATCCATATTCCAACTTTCTGGAGTTCCCTATACTACGCCAAGCCCCTGTTTTGGTCTAGTGCTGTCGGGACTTCGCCTCTCCTGGGCGATAAGATAACGAGGCCTGTGCCTCAGGGCCCGAAGGGCCCGAAGTGGCCTAGAGCCGACAGTGTACATCCCGCGGGAAGTATGGAGCTAGCCTTTGTTTTTTTTGCTGTGGTCTTTGGGTTTAGGGTTTAGGGTTTCAGGGTTCAGGGTTTAGGGTTTAGGATCTGGTTGGGTTTGGGGCTTTGGGGTTTAGGGCTTAGGGTTTATGATGGCTCAGCCTTTAGCGCTCAGTTGTGCGCAGGGAGAAATAAAGTTACATAGTGTTTTTCAGGACCGGGTACATTAAGTGCTGGAGGGTTTTATGCTCCACTCCCTGCATCGAGTAAGTGGAGGCATGGGGTCTACATCATCTATTTCGCCCTAATCCCTGACCCCGAAACCCTAAACCCTGAACCTGAACCCTGAACCCTGAACCCTGAACCCTAAACCCTAAACCCTAAACCCGAAACCGCAAACCCTAAACCGCATGAAACACTGCACCCCTGGGGTCGGGATTGAAGCAGTTTCGGCCTTCCCGGCCCCAGCTGAGAACGCAAGGTTTCAAAAGCTTCTTACAGACCTACTTGTCGGGTGTCCTGGGGAACTACAGGTTAACCTTTTTGGTTATATAGGGGGTATATAGGGACTATACTACCCAAAAAAGGTTAAAGGTTACCTACTCTACTACTAGGCAGAGTTTGGGGCTCAGCGTTCAGTGTTCAGGGTTTAGTTTTCACAGGCTTGTACCGGCTTGGCAAGGGAAAAAGCGTCCAGGTCATACTGTTTTGCGGTTCCTGTTTAGGGCTGAGGAAATTTCGGGTTCAGGGGTTCGGGTTCGGTGGTTAGGGCTTCCGGCCGCAAGCGGTTTAGGGTTTAGGGTTTAGGGTTTAGGGTTTTGAAGAGAAGGAAAGGAGCGTGCTACTCTCGGTCCTCAACATCACCTCCTGTTGAGGGTGGAGAGACTCTCGGAGACTTTGACAAAATTGACTCATGCCGGATGTACATCACCAACCCTAAGCGTCCTAATCCTAAGTCAACTGCACTTGTTGCAGCAGTAAGTTGCACAAGGTACGAATTATCTTTGAGCCAGCTGTACAGGCCCCAGTGTAGCAAAAGTTGGGCCCGACCCAAGGGGTGTTCTTCAGGCTACATTGGCAAAAGTGATGGCGTTCTTGTGTGGCTACGAGATTCCTCAGCGCCGTGACCGTCACTTCTGAGAAGCCGCATGAGCAATTCTCCTGCTGCATTTCGACTTTGCGTGGGCGATAGCCTGAAATGTGGTTGGACGATATTCCGAACCTCTCTCCACGAACCCTAAACCCTAAACCTCTAAAGGAACCCCGAAAGGAACCGCAAAGGAGCCCTTAAAGGAACCCTTAAGGAAGCCGCCCCCTTAAGGAACCCTAAGGGCCTCGGTGACTTCCTTTATGGCTGCGCGCTCGGGGTCTGGATGAACACTGGAGGGCGTAGGGTTTATGCAGTTTAGGGCTTAGGGTTTAGGGCTTTTAGGGTCTAGGGCTTAGGGTTTTTAGGGTCGTTTTCAGGGTTTAGGGTTTAGGGTGTTTAGGGTCTAGTGTTTAGGGTTTCTAGGGCTTAGGGTTTTTAGGGCTTCGGGTTTAGGGTTGTAAAGCCTTGAACCGGGCAGAATAAAACATCCCTAACATCAGGGCCTTTTTGACTTCAACAGCGCTTTGAGTTTATGACATCGAAAGACGGAACTGCAAGGAACAATATTGTGAATTGTTCAGGCTTCTATAGTACGGTTCCCTCTTGGGCCAGAAGTTCGCCTGGATGCAATGCCACAGCTGACGATTCTGTCAGATGTGATGCTATCAAGCAATTTGCATATCACCAGGCAAAAAATGATGCTCAACTGTCCTGTCCAGTCAGCATCCATTTCCTCCGGATGGACACCACGCCACTCCGAGTTTCTCGGTGGCAGATGCTCCGAATGTGCTGGGGGGGTACGGGTCCATCCGAACTGCGAATTCGGCGAATTAATTTGGATTAAAGCTTGTTGGCGATAGCTCCTAATACACAAGGGACAACAAGAGTCCGGAGTGTGTTTTTGCTTGCAGGCCTCTGAAGCTCAAAACCAAGCACGCTAACGGCTCACTTCAGCCACAGCCCAAGCCGCTGCGCTGTCGCCTCAACTGTTGAAAGGCTCGACCACCGGTGCAAAAGGGCCCGCGAGAGACATCACGATTCTTTTTCGGGTGAGGTCTCGGGTTGCGGCACAAGGGCTTATGGTTTAGGGCTTGCGGCTGTTTGGGCTTAGGCTGTTGTGGTTTAGGGCCTTGCCAAAGTCATCTAGGGGTCTGACAAATTTCGAGCAGTGCACCCCCATAGTCTTGATTTTAGCTACAGGAGCAGATCCTCCTTTCCCGAAAAAAGGGAACATCTTGATGGCGATTTGGTCGTGGTATGCCTTTATAAGCTTAAGCAGCTCCCAAACCTTCAACCGTCCCTAAACCCTAAACCCTATACCCTATACCCTAAACCCTAAAACCTAAACCCTAAACCCTATACCCTATACCCTAAACCCTAAACTAAAGCCCCGAATCTCTCAACGCAACACCGAGGCCTTCGCGGAGCATGCTCGGGATCTTCCCTAACCATCAGCTCCGATTTTAAGAGCCCTGGCATTGATATGGCGGAACCCTTCTAGACCCCTTTAAAGGAACAGTGCAGCGCAACCCAGCCTGGCATGCACCTTCGGGAAAACCAATGCCACCTTCTGCTCAAGGCGTCATATTATAGGGGCCTTGATAGATTAACTATTTAAAGATATGTGTGTGTGTGTATATATACATATATATATATATATATATATATATATATATATATATGTGTGTGTGTGTATTATATTACATATACACTTGTGTATATAGGGGCCCTGAGAGTAACGTAGGAATAAACAAGGTGCCCTTTTTGGTTTAGAGGGGCTTATAAGGGAACCTAAACCGTTAAAAAAGGAATAAGGGCCTACTCTGGGTCATGGTATTATAGGGGCCTTAACAGGTTAGAGTTAGATGGGAATCTGATTCAGGAAGCCTGTGTCTCTACTAGGGCTCTTCAAGGCATCATATTGTAGGGGACTTAAAAAATTGATTAGAGTTAGATGGGAATCTGATTAAGAAAGCCGGTTTCCTTTTTCAATAGGGCTCTTCAAACGAGCCCTAAAAATTGTGGGGTGTTGGGCCAGGGTTCCTTAATCGGGTCCCTACATCAGGTCATTAGGGTTTGGGGGTATAGGTTTTTTTTTCGGAAGGGCGGGGGGGGGCTCCTGTTCTGCACAGCCTTACGGTTGCCATAGGGTCTAGGGTTGAGGGTTTTGGGGCATAGAGGGGGAATACCATGGAGATCCTAAACCCAAAAGCCGAGAGTTCCCTAACAGCTTCTTCGCTGGATTCTTTCCGGGCTCCGTTTTATGAGGGTTCTATCGATCCTATCGGGGATTCAAGGGTCAATTCTTCCAGAGGGACAGGGATTTGGATTTTGCGGAACACGGCGAAGCCAAACTGCCCCGTAGATCGACTCAAAACCCTAAACCTTAAAGTAAAAGCCAGAAAGTTGGAATATGATTATCCTAAACCCTTCTATGGTAAATTATAGGGTATCCCACCATGAAACCATATTCCAACTTTCTGGAGTTCCCTGTAAGCCTTAAGCACTAAACCGTAAACCCCAAACACCCTTCCCCCACTGCCTCAGGTACACGGCGGCGGACACGGGGATCCGATCCTGAGGGCGCTGTCTAGGCTCCCCGGCAACCTAAGATTATAAATTGAATAAGCAGCTCTGCCTGAGAATTGTTTTTATAAAGACAGTTGTTTTCGTTTTGATAAAAACGGTTTAGGGTTTAGGGTGTAGGGGTTGAGGGCCTATCTTGGGCGAGGCAGATGCTAATCCGCGGAGTGGTACGACTTTAAGTTGAGCAACCCAGTAAGTTACACCGCCTCATATACGAATCTGAATAAGACATCATGCAAACAAAGAAATACGACACCGTCAAAGCAAAAGCACTAATTAACCACAAAGACGAAACCCACGCAAGCGACCCTCAAACAGCGAACCCTAAACCCATAAACCCTAAACCCTAAACCCATAAGCCCTGAACCCTAAATCCTAAACCCTAAACCCATAAACACTGAACCCTAAATCCTAAACCCCCTAAGCCCATAAGCCCTAAACCCTGAAACACAAGCCGAATGACGGGCTCGTGCGGTAGAGATAGGCCTGAAACTCCTGGTGTTGGATTTAGGGTTAAGGATTTACGGATTCAGGGTTTAGGGTTTAGGGTTTAGGGCATCAACGGCGAAAAAGCTAAGCCATTGACGAGATGGTTGAAGATCTTGGGCCTTTAAGCCCTAAACCCTAAACCTATGCTTAGAATTAGGCTCCTTCAAGGACTCCTTGAAGGGGTCTATGAGGGCTACTATACACAGGGTTGCCATAAGTGTCTACTCTAGGAGCCCCAATGATCGGACCTTTGGGGTATATTCGCATCTTCTACTATGCCGGTTGGAAGGAGCCCGACGGACTGGTGTTACTGAATGATTCCGACCATCGGTTTAGGGTTTAGGGTTTAGGGCGACATCTGTCGGTCAGAGAAGCGAATCAAGCCAGCCTGCGGCAATCTGGCCAGGTCAGCACTTACCTAGAATGCTGGCCGACCCCTATCACTACATTCGTTGTGCTTGGATTTCGAGTGGTCGAACGTTGGAGGCTTTTGAGCTTGGGCATTGGTAGGGCTGTTAACATCAAAGCTTGACATGCTTGCCGTTCCAAGCTTTCCCCAAACAAAAGACCTGCAGAAGTGCCCCTTGACGCCAGTTCGCCGTCTGCAAACCGCAAAAATAGGCAACAGCCAAGGGCTGCGTTGGGGAAGCAACCAGCACTTCAATCGAGGGCCCCGAGGGATCAGAAGAGGATTCCCTTAACGCGAGTGTTTTTCCTTGGAGGGCTCGTATTGTCAGTTGGGCGTTGGGGTGGTGGTTTATTATACTACAGAGAAAATGATACACGGACAGCAACTGGAAGAGTATTACTAGTTTTTCGGATCCCTGGATTCCTGGATTGCATCGGAAAACCTCTTCAAAAGACTATCGTAGGTCCTGCCCATGGGAATGTAAATCTTTCAATACCCTGTCGCCCAGAGAACTTAGCACCTCAGCTCTACAGTCTGAAGAAATCCCGGAAACCCAAGGCCGTGAAATAAAAATGAGCCCTGAACCCTATGCCCCGAACCCCAAACCCGAAACCTTAAGCCCGAAGCCCTAACCCTTTAACCCTAAGCTCCTATTCTCGGGGGGGCCTTAATAGTTAGGCTCGGTGGTTTTCGGGTGTATATTAGACCACGACCGTAGCCAGAACCCAAATAACATGGCACCGGTAGTTATTTCAACCGCCTATCATACTGTAATCAGGATAGGAACCCAAAAGTAGTCGTGCCATTGTTACCCTAAACCAGCAAACCTAAACCCTAAGCCCTCGGACTCTTTTTAAACCCTTTAGAACGCTCTTCGGCCGGAACCAGGGCATCTCCTCGAAGGTCGAGGAAGGGGTCAGCCCCTTGTACCACTCCTGGCAAATCCGAGGCTTCTATTAGGAAGAAAGGTACTATGTTAGGGTCCCCTATTTTCAGGATCACAGGGCGCATTTAGGGTCTAGTGAGTCTAGTGTGACAGTGTTTGTAACATTTAGGGTCTGAGAGGGTTTAGGGATTTGGGCCTTCCTGGCCCCCTACCTTGAGCCCTAGATAGCTTTGAGCTCCTCCTATCTTCCCCGTAACCGTGTGCTCTAGGTGTTGGCGTGCTGTTGCCGTAGACTCTAAACTCTGCAGGACGCTCGGGCTTAACGAAGGGGCCTTAATGATTACAATAGGGTTTTGGGGGTTCCTGAGTATAACTATAGTATAAAATACCCCCCAACCTTATTCTAATCATTACGGCCCCTATACTAGGTTTGGGTCGTTCGCCCCTGCAGAGCCAAGAAGCTGGATGCTTCCAGATGCCATCGTGCTTGGCCCAAATCACATCCTTGTAGCATCGCTCGCCTTTCTGGGCTGTGTGGCACTCCTTACAGCGGCAGGGACCAAACTAAAATCCGACGCCCAAGCTCGCTCAGAGGTTTTACGTTTCCAAGGATTCTGGGTCTGAAGGCTATTGGGCTGCGGGTCGGACAACGAAAGGGTTTAGGGTTTAGGAGGTTAGGGCTATTAGGGCCTCATGGTTGCGGTTTGTTTGTTAAAGTGCTCGAGTCTATGAGGTTCAGAGCGTTGGAGTGGGGTAGGAGAACGACTTCCTCCACGTGATCAGCGGGGTCGAACGGATCATCGGGTATCTTCAACTCTAAACCCACAAGCCATACACCCCAAACCTTCAACTCTGAACCTAGACACATCAAACCTTAAACCCTAAACTTGTAGACCCTGGCCCTTGCGAAAGCCCTGAGAGTGTAGCACCTAAGCCCTAAATTCATAAACCATAGAACCAGCGTATAGAAAGCCCCAGGGCCCAGTTCTAATTCTTAAGGGCCATATATCATAGAACATTCTGACCCCTAAACCCTAAACCCTAAACCCTTTAAAAAGGAACCCCAAAAACCTGGGGTTGAATTTACGGCCTTATGGATTACTTGTAGGGGGGTTTAGGGGTGCACGTTCAAGGGGAAGGTATAAGGGGTGCAAAGGTTTAGGTTTGGTTGTTAACATTCGGGGTATAAGGCTTTTAAGGCTTATGCTTTACGGCTGTAGGCTTTCGGGGCGCAGGGTAAGTGGAGATCAAACTGGATTGACTGACCGACGCGTCAACCCCTATAGTTACCTCAAAAGAAGGAAAATTAAGTAGAAGCCTGTGAAATCCCTCTAAAGCCCACGTTGAACCCCCTAAGAACCCTTTTCGTTTCAGGGTTTACGATGCATTTCAAGTTGACGGGTTCGGGCTTAAGACGGCAGTGGCACTGGGGTTCAGCGTTAAGGACTGTTTAGGGTTTAGGGTGCAGAGCATGCAGCCCGAGGTGCTGTGGCGTAGTAGCCTTTGTCCTGAGAGAGAAGTGCTGCAGGCAAAGGAAGCTCTAGGTGTAAGAGTCCAAGGACACAAAGAGAGACCCTTTATAAAACCTTACTATAGCTATGAAATATATATATATATATATATATATTATATATATATATATATTATATATATATATGTATATGTATATATATATGTATATATATATATATATGTGTATATATATATGTGTGTGTGTGTATGCATATATATATATATATATATATATATATATCCATTTTATAGCCCGTTATGGGGTGGGGATCCCCATTTAGGGTCCCTCTTTTTGCCCTTCGAAAGAGGCAGATACCCCCAAAAAACCTCGGAGGGACCCTGGACTCTGAAAAGCCCAAGTCAAATCCATGAAACGTGCCCGCCCGGGTTTAGGGTTTAGGGTTTAGAGTTTTTAGGGTTTAGGGTTTAGGGTTTAGGGCTTTTAGGGTTTAGGGTTCAGGGTTTATGGTTTAGGGTTTAGGGTTCCAAAACTCAAAAAACTCAGAGATGCTCAGAGACCCAACTCCTGAACCCTGAGCCCTCGACCCTGTAAACCATCAACTAGCTCTTAATCCTTATATCAGTTGGGTGGTTGTCAAAATTAGGGTCCCTTTTTGGGTCCTTAATATAGCACGGCGCCTACTATTTAGGGTACCCAAAAAGGGACCTTAATTTTGACAACGACCCACTTAAACCCGCAACTTCCCAAACACTCCCGTCTCTCGGACCTCGTAGAAGCGCCTCATGTTGAAGTCACACTTCCTTTGCTCTGCTGTTGGGGTTTAGGGTTTAGGGTTTAGGGTTTAGGGTTCGCCGAAACCCCTAATGTAGGGGCCTAAAGAATTACCTGTACTATTTTGGGGGGTTCCTTATTATGAATATAGTATAATGGGCCCCAAGACCCTATTCTAAATACTAAGGCCCCTATAGTACGTCATATAGACGCCGTCTTGGTTTCAAAATGGCTTTGGGAGAATACTCTAGAACAAGATGATGGGGTCTCAGAGAGACGACTATTCGTCATGATCCTGGCCCCTAATACAAGACTCAAACGAAACAAGCCCGCTGGAACCGAGCTTCGACCTCTCCTAAACCATGACAGACCCAAAAAAGAAAAGTGTATAAGTCGGTATAAGGTATAGGGTATAAACTGGAAATCTGAGGGTTTACGGCTGAGGGTGTAAGGTTAAATTTACTTAAATTGAATCAACCTCAAGGCAGTGAACTTCTGAACCGAACGCCGAGGAACGGGTCGGGAATCTCGGAGGCGGGCGTGGCATTCGGATACTTTTTGGCGAAAAGCTCCTGTGCTTGGTAAACATCTTTTGGGGAAGTCTCAGGCGTTGGGGTCACAGGCGTCGGTTTAGGGTTTAGGGCGTAGGGCTCAGGGGCTTAGAACCCAAAACCCTCATTTAAAGAAATACTAAACCCTATAAACCCTAAACCCTAAACCCTGAACCCTAAGCTTAGGGGCTTAGGACCCAAAACCCTCACTTAAAGAAATACTACTGATACTCACCTCTTTGGAGCTCTCGGGCCGAGGGCTGCTTGCCTAAACCCAGAGACCCCAATATTCCTTAATTAGGGAATATACCCTAAAGCATATAAGGGATCCTACCATAATTTAAGGAATATTCCTTAATTAAGGGATATTGGAGTCTCTGGGAACTCTCGGGTGGCAAGAATCGGCGTAAGGGTTGCGGCTTCTTGGCTTTCGGATGTTGGGATTTAGTTTAGGGCCTTAAAGTAAAAGCCAGAAAGTTGGAATATGATTATCCTAAGCCCTTTATGGTAAATTATAAGGTATCCTACCCTGAAACCATATTCCAACTTTCTGGAGTTCCCTTTAGGGTGTGGGGGTTTAGGCATGGGCCTTTTTGAGTTATGGGCTCAAGGCGTCGTTTCCTATGTAGGCCCGCTTGATGCCAGTTGACCCTGCTTAAGGTTCGGGGATTCGGATTTCGGCCCAAAGGACCTCAAACTTGTGCCTCCGACGGATATCCATAGATCGGGTTTCCGGAATTCTCACTGGTGCAAGTAGAACGGCCTAAAGCCTAAACCCTCGACCCCAAAGCAAACCCTCAACTCTAAACCCTGAACCCTAAACCCTAAACCCAAACCCCAAAGTAAACCCTAAACCCTAAACCCTTATGCTCGGAGTGCAGACTTTCATTTCCTCGGTCTTTGGCTGCTGGGTGTCTGTCCCCAGGGTACCCTAAAGCCTAAACCCTAAAGCTGGTCTGAGAGCACTGGTTGTTCATCGAAAAGTTCATGCTGGCAGGGTTTCGGGTTTAGGGTTTACGAGGTCTGAGGTTTGGGTCTCGTGTTTAGGGCTTAGGGCCTGGGGTTCGGATGCTTCGATGCAGATGCCCCTGCCTCCGCCAACATCAGCCGCCACTCGTTCGCCAGCTCATCCCGCTTCCTGGGGAAGTTTTGCGTGCTCTGGCGCCCTAGTGCAGAAAGCTAGAGAGCAAGATTTGGTTCAGGGGCTTCGCTTAGTCATAGTCTCTCAATAGTCTCTCAACCCAAAAGGAGACCACGACTTCCGAGTTGCTCCGAAGGAGGAGATACCCCCCGAACCGAAAGCCCTGCACCCGAAAGCCCTGATTGGCTCAGGGCCCGGGAGTGAGAAAAAGGGCAGACACTCACAAGGTCAAGCTCGGTCTTCTCGTCAGATTTAGAAACAAGGCTACCTAAACCCCAAGCCCTAAACCCACCCTAAACCCGAAACCCTGAACCCACCCTGAACCCTGAACCCTAATCCCACCCTAAACCCGAAACCCTAAACCCAAAAACCCAAAAGCCAGTTTCTCGAGCCAGGTGTCGAGTCCCACCAGGTCCAACCCTTGCCGCGGTCGGCCCAACGCATGTACTCCTGCCTGAAACGGTCTGAGGCTGGGCTTTGAAGTAGCCAAGGAGAAAAATTATAGACGTCTATTTCTTTCTGGCTCCCCTTTAAGTAACAGCTCCCCAAAAAAGTATAGACGTTTATGTCATAATGGCTCCCTTTAAGTAGCAGGTCCCCAACAAAGTATGAAGCTATGGTACTCCAAGCCCAGGAGGGGTCTGAAACATCGAACCGGCCAGGCCGCAGAGTTAGGGCTGCGGCATACTATAGGGGCCTGGAAGATTAGAATCGGGTTTTGGGGCCCATTATGCTATAATCATCAGAAGCAACCTCCAAAATATTGCTATAGGCAATTGTTCATGGCCCTGTATTACGGTTGTAGGGACTGGGCGTGGCAGAATAGGGCTGCATAGGTCAGGAAGTGGGTTGGTGCTGTCGAGGTCTGCTGTTGAAGCTGCTGAATTGTCCTAAATCCCCGAAGCAATTGGACTTGGAGAGCTGAGCGTGGCGTCAGGCAGGGAGGTTCCATCAGCTGAAGGACACAAGATGTCGCTGCTGAAACAACGACTGGCGCATGCCGTGCACGGGGCACAACAGAACCCGTAACCGAACCCCGAATCCCAAAATCCTAAACTCAGAACTGCCAAGCGCTTAAACTGCTACAGGCATGCTAAGCCAAAGCTTCTCATTGTCGTAAGTAGGTGCTCATGGTGTTTTGTTCGGTTTGATAGGGCTGGCTTGGTGGGATCGGGGGGCCAAATAGGCAGGGCTCTTAGCAGGGTAACTGCACCTAAATTAAACGAACTCATAACATAACCCTACTGCAGGTATGAATAACACTACTTACCTGGGTTTTGCTTTAAACCCTTTGAAAACTATTTATGAATAGGTTCTCGTTATAAGGAAATAAGGGAAATTAAAAATTATCCCAAAGCACAACCCAGTTACTGAGGTCCTCTAACCTTTAAGCAAGCTGCAGCCCGGAAGACCCGAACACCTGAAAGCCCAAAACATGCAAACCGTACTGCTGATGCACAAAATCCTGCATGACCCTAAGAACTCTAAACTATGGGAATTATGGTATATTCCTTAAAATGGGTAATGCAGGATTGTGTCCATCAACAGTATCTCGGAAGCTTTTGGAAGCCCTGGCCTTATAACCCCAAAATAGTAGGATTCATTTATAAGGCACCCTAGAGAAGGCCCAAGGTCTCCTACATTATTATACTAACCCTTTTAATGGATCCCTTATAGTATAGCCCTTCTAGACCCCTTTAAAGGAAACCTAGTAAAGGCTCAAGGTTCCTTAATCAGGTGCCTACATGGGTGGTTGTCAAAATTGGGGCCCCTTTTTGGGTCATTATTATAATACGGCACCTAATATTTAGGGTACCCCAAAAGGAATCATAATTTTGACAACCACCCACATGAATCTCGGAAGCTTTTGGAAGCCCAGGAAGCTCCTCCCAGACTCCAAAAACGACGTGTAGTTCCGGATGTCCGTGAGCTCATCGATGGTGATCTCACCGGCATCCTCGTAGTGTTTTATAAAACACTGCAAGCCCAGTTCCAGCTGCTTTATAAAACACTGCTTGCTGCGCACTTTCGGGGCTTTGCGCGCACAGCCCGAAACCCTGGAGACTGAAAGACTGAAAGGCTTTTAGCTAGGGATACACATGCCTACGAGTAGTGGGTCTCGGTGTCTACGGGCTTCCGGTTCAGCATTTCGGGCAGTGCAGGGCTTCCCGTCTAGATGCATGTTTAGGGGGGTTTCCGGACACGGGGATCAGGGTTCGGAGCTTCCCAGCTTGCGCGTTTGGGGCTCCCGTCTTCTGCCGCCCAGGCCAGGGTTGGGAGCTCAACTTTTTGGGGGGTCGGACTTCGGTTCAGAACTTCAGGTTTGCCCTAAACCCTAAACCCTAAACCCAAAACCCTAAACCCTAAACCCTAAACCCTGGACCCAAAACCCTAAACCCTAAACCCTAAACCCAAAACCCAAAACCCTAAACCCTAAACCCAAAACCCTAAACCCTAAACCCTAAACCCTAAACCCTAAACCCAAAACCCTAAACCCTAAACCCCAAACCCAAAACCCAAAACCCTAAACCCTAAACCCTAAACCCAAAACCCTAAACCCTAAACCCTAAACCGTAGAAGCTTCGGGCGGTCCATGCAGCGACTCTCAGGCTTTAGGATCAAGGGCTGTGGGTCCCAAATCATCCAAAAAATCCTCGAAGGAAGGAACTTCCCCCCCAAATCACGGCTAAGTTCAATCATAGGTTAGAAGCTGCTCCCACCCTGTAATAGTGGTATAATAGGAATATAATAGGGCCCTATTATAATCCTTATAGTCACTATTACAGGGTGGGGGCAGCTTCTAAATCATAGGTTTCTTCGGCCCCCCCCCCCCCCAGAGACAGCTTTCGATGTATTTTGAGCCCAGCAGTGGCTGTTGCACAAAGAAGCTTCTAGAGGCATAAACAGATACACTTCGAAGCATTTCGATACAATTCGAACACATTTCGAAACACAAAGACGCAAATTTATAGTCTTTGTGTTTGTTTATGCATCGGGAAGCTTCTGGGTGCACCAGCCACGGCTGAGCTCAAAATACATCGAAAGCTATCGCTATTCTGGGGGGGCGGCTAAGGAACCTATGAATCAAACTCTGGTTTGAGGTCTACCTGAATCAAGGGATGTGGGAAGATCTGAAGGGACTTCCTCAAGTCTACTAAGGATCAGACTATGATTTAAGGTCTACTTTAATCCAAGGGATGTTGGAAGATTTGGGAGAGTCCTCGTAGGTCCACGTGCAGTTGCCCTGTCCAGTGGGCGTCTGATCGCCTCAGTACTCCCGACGCTTTACCTCCTCCCTTAAATGTAGTAGCTTCTTTGTTTGCTTTAGTTTCTTAGTCCATAAAATCGACCATCCAATAAAGGGTGCTACATTTAAGGGTCTAGGTACACCCTAAACCCAACAATGAAGACCCTAAGCCCTAAACAAATGGCCTCGATGCTGCATCAGAAAGCCCATGTGCCTCATCACGGGGTTTGGGATTCCGACTCTTAGGGTCTAGGTTGTTTTTTATCGGGGCCTTAAGAATCAAAATGCGTGGGTTTTGGAGCCCATTATACTAAATTCATAGTAAGGAAAGTTAGGGAATAATACTGGTAGTCACTCAGGTTTCTGTAGTAGGCTACAGGGACTTGGATGAGGAGTTATGTTTGGCTCAGAAATTCCAGGCGGAAGAGGCAGGTTTCAGAAGGGTGCGGGCGTGCATCGCTATACTACAGTACGTATTCACGGAAGCATTCTGCTGCTGCTGGGGATTAATCAAAAGTAGTTCTCATGTACCCCAGTTTGCCGAAGCCCCGAACACGAAAATGCCAACCAGAATCTCCAGAATTCATTAACCAATCTAGAAACCCGTGCTTAAAAAGATCTTTTCAGGAATGCCAAACTTTCAAGTCAAGCCTCCCAAGGAAAAACGCCGAGCCCGGACCTAAACCAACTCCTGTACCCGTACACCCTACGTCCTACGAAGCCCCGAAAGGAACCTTTCTAGAAAGGTCCTTGCCGGAATCCTGTGAGGAAGTGCACACAAGAACCCTAAACCCTCAACCCTAAACCTGTCTGAGTCCAATCCTTGAACCCCAAACCCTTCTAAGCCCTAAACCTAAACCCTAAACCACCGGCCGAACCCTTCCACCGGGCCTAAGAGTAACCTAGGAATAAAAAGGGTGCCCTTTTTGGTTTAAAGGGGCTTATAAGGGAACCTAAACCCTAAAAAAGGGAATAAGGGCCTACTCTGAGTCCTAGAGTTCCTTTGAAACCCTAAACCCTAAACCCTAAACCCTAAATCCTAAACCCTAAACCCTAAACCCTAAACCCTAAGCCCTAAACCCTAAACCCTAAACCCTAAACCCTAAGCCCTAAGCTTCCACCGCGCCACAATAGCCGCCGGGCTGTCTCTCACGACACTTGTCGTCCCACCTGGACAGAGGAAAGCTGGGTTGGCCTTTAAACACCCTGAAATTTTTTTATATATAGGGTCCCTTATAAACCGAAATAAGGAAAATAAAAAATGTCCCAAAATCCAGAGGAAAGGCCCCCAAAGTAGGTAAACTAATGGCCCAAAACCATAAAAAGGCGATTATTCTGCATACTTGTGGGGTCCAGGTACCCCTTTAAGGATAACGGGAGAGGTCCCCCGATCCGAAAACCCCTAAACGGGCTAAAGTTGTGAACTTAGGGCTTAGGGCTTTAGGGCTTAACCCTAAAACCCTAGGCCCCGAGTTCACAACCGCACGCGTGTAGTTGCCGGTGGGGGCTCCAGAACGGTAATGGCAGTGACTCAAGGGCATTTTACTACTCCTGAACCCTAAAACGCGATGCTAAAGCCTGCGACCTGCGTACTTAAAACGCCGGTTCTAATGCGCACAGGCTAAACCACAAGCCCAGGGTCCAAGACCTTGAGTCCTTCGCCGAGCTGCTGCGTGTAGTTTCTGGAGGGACAGGGCCCTGGAAGGCTGTACCAAACCTCGGCTGACTTCTGAACCCCTCCAGAAAGTTAAACTTTTGGCCTCCTTATTATGGTTCATATAGAAACCCAAAAAGTTAAAGAAAGTCCTGAGAGCCCACCAGAAGAACGCCAAGAAACCGCATTGGGGTAGTAGATCTTGTAGTTCGGAAACGGGAAATGTCCTGCGAAGCTTGGCCGTTCCGGGGGTCGCCCGAACTTCCGACATGCTAAGCCCCAAACGGAAGCCCAATAAAAGGAACTACAAAGTCGTGCATTTCGCCAAGAAAACCCGATTTCCGGTACCTCTCAAGAGGTTTCGGGATCAGACTGGCCGCACCCTACTAAGGCTTCGGGCTTTGAAGTTTGGGATGTAGGCCCCGCCCCGAGCATCGAACCCCAAGGGCACCAACATGTTCTAGATCACTAAGATCACTAAGTGGAAAGCTAGAAGTCACGGTTACAGGGCATCGCCGCTACCACATCGTCATCATCACCATCATCATCATGGTCATCGTCATCGTCACCAACATCATCAGCAGCAGCACCATCACCAGCATCGTGACAATCATCATAGATGCGCTTCTTCAAGAACCTGGTAACCAGACCCGAAACCATCTCACACCCTAAACCCTAAATCCGAAACCCTAAACCCTTAACCTGACGCCCTAAACCGAAGCCTTAAAGAAGCATAGCAACTTACTGAGCTCTCCCGAGGGCTAAGTCAGCAGAAGCAGGGTTTGGGATTTAGGCCTACTAGGGTTTGTATTGGTTTGTTGTGTGCGGTGGTGGTGTGCTATAATGTGCTACAACATGCTATGATACAAAGGGTAAACAGATTGCTCTGTAATGTAAACAGGTCCCAAAACGTTTTTATCAAGGGTAAGTAGTCGTATCAGGGGCGGTCCCAAGACGTTGCAGCCCACGAAGTAGCCGTAGGTGTCCCACTCGAAGGCTTGGGTCACGCTGCCGTTGTGCATGCCAACGTCGAAGCTGCTGTTGAAGGCGCCTGGTGTCTGTGGCTGTGTAGAGCCCTGATTGCTAGATCCTGCTTCTTGAAGAGCCGCATTGTCAGGATCCCACTGTATTCTATATTCTTTATCCACAAAAAGAGGGATCCTACTCAGGGGTCTACAGCCTTCATACCTTGTGCGTACTATCCGTGTTGATTGCACGAAACATGGTCCCAGTCTTGTCTTGCCTGAAAACCTTAAAACCAAAAGCTCCAAAAAAGCACAACGAGCTCCTAAGGTCTGTAAGGGCCCGGATCCCTCAAGGCTCTCTACCGGGGCCATTGTCTTGGTGCCCTTTCATTTGAGATGGGGCCCCTTTGTTTTTTGAGGGTGTCGGGCTTTGGGTACAAATGACCAAACACTAAGCTCCTCCAAAACTCACACCCTAAACCCTAAACCCCAAAGCCTATCCCAGAAACGCTAGCCCCAAACCCTAAACGCCTGAAACCCAAAATCCCAAACCCTAAACCCCCTAGCCCTTAGAACCCTAGCCCCTAAAACCCCCAGACCCTCAACCCGAAGTCCCAAAACCCAAACTAACCCCTAAACCCCCCTGAACCCCTAAACCCCAAAGACCTAAACCCTAAACCCTGAACTCTAAACCCCTAACCCTGAACCCTTAACCCCAAAGCTCCAAACCCCAAACGCCCTCTTTTCTGAAAGAAAGGACCTAAACCCTTAACCCCTGAACCCCTAAAGCCCCCCCCCCTTTTTGTGAAAGAGCCCTGAACCTTGAATCCTAAAGCCCCAAACCTTATAAACCCTAAACCCCTGTAGCCCCCCCTTTGCTCTTAAAAAGAACCCTTATAACTCCGTTGAAGGAGCCCTTATGGAACCCTTTTTTGGAACCGAATAGAAAGTTAGTCCCCCCCTTTACAAGAAAGCCGCCTTTTCTCTTAAACCCTGAAGCCTGAAGCCCCCTCCTTTGCCCCTAAGCCCTAAACCCTAAAACCCTAAACCCTATACCCTGAACCCCCTTTTCCCTTTAAAGTAAAAGCCAGAAAGTTGGAATATGGTTATCCTAACCCCTTTATGGTAAATTATAAGGTATCCTACCCTGGAACCATATTCCAACTTTCTGGAAACCACCCAAAAATACAAATAATAATCCCTATATTATCCCCATAAGGAATATTTTTCTTCATTTTTTGGGTGGTTCTTAAGCAAATATTAGTTTCCCTTTAAAAGAAAGCCCGCCTTGGCAGAGCTTCGGCCCATACTCGTCACGGCCGCACTCGAAGGGCCCCGTGGCTTGGCCGGCGTCGAAGGCGAAGCCTCGTGGGATGATCCCCCTTTTAGGGCTCCTTAAGGGGATCTAGTCTGTCCTTGACGCAAGATACCAACACCGAACTACGACCTCGTGTCCTTCAGGGTTTGCATGTCGCAGCTACAAATTGGGCGCGGACTCTCGGGGCAGTCGAGTCGAACGGAGGGCACATCCAACACTCTACACCCCAATGCACCTAAAGTCCCAAAGGAGACCGAAGACTACATCCCCCTGTTCCGCGAAGTCCTGGCAGCTCAGTCACGATCTGTTCAACAAAGCATGACACCACAGCAGTACATCAGAGGGTGAAGGTCTAGGCTGTAGAGGAAAGGGAGAGGGACTGCTTACCTTACGATCGCGTGCCAGCTTTCAAAATTTGGAGAAGGTGGTATGGCTTGCTGAAAAACTGGCTCGCCGATAGGGTCCCTGGCTGTTTCGTGTGCAACACAGCTTAAACCTCGAATTGTAAAGGAGATATCACCAAGGTAGTTATGCCTGGGACCTGTGCGGCGGCTATGTTCAGTCGTCCTTATCACTCGACATCACAGTCCCCCCGCTGGACCTTCTGCGCCCATCACCGGCAACTCTGGATGTGCAGGACATCAGGGACGGCCGCGGGCCTGCACATACAAAAGGGATCGTCTCCTGCTGTGACGCGGGCAAAGTCTCCGCGATGGATACGGCGGGCTGTTCCGCCAGGGTATCTTCTGGCAATCCTTGCGCTACCGTCCGCAGGAATCGCAGAAGGGCGACTCCTCCCCGTCTGGTGATGTCCTCGTCATGGAGCCGGCCGTCTTGCCACATCGAGTAAAGTCCCACCACTGTTGGGTCGTTCATGCTGAAGGATGACCTTTCTGCTGTCGCCGTCCGGCGGCAAAATTGAAGCAGGGCCGTGCCTCCTGCAAGCCGCACTTTCTCATCCGTGTACGGGGTTCAGGGTTCAGGCAGCGTTGTATACTGGTTCTAGGGATGTTAGTTGTTGTTTGGGCTCTTTTGGTTTTATGGGATTGGTTGGGGTTTTCGGAGCATTCTGGTTTTGCGAACATTCAGAGTCTTTGCTCTGGTGCTTAGGGCACGTCTGCAAAGAGTTGTTGAGGATGTGGAGTGATGTAGGGCTTCAGTCTCAGGATTTCAAGCGGCAGGGGCGTTTTTGAGAGTGCAGGGTTGAGGAGCTTCAGATTAACTTCGAGAGCCTAGGCTGAAAGCATCGGCATTTGGTTTTAAATTAGGCAGGGCTGGGGCACCCTAAACCCTAAGCCGTAAACCCTAAACCCTGCTTGTAAAAGCGTCAACCATTCGACTGTTCGACTTGACACCCCAGGGAAGCACGAGCAGATCTAGAAGTCACCAGCGAATTAGAGACTCCAATATCCCTTATTTAAGGAATGAATATATATATATATATATATATATATATATATATATATATAACTTAAATATAGTTTAATAGGATCCCAAATAGCATTTAAGGTATATTCCATAATTTAGGGGTCTTGGAGTCTCTAGGTAATGAATGCCAGAGAACGCACACCGAAGTTCATGCCCTTCTCCCAGAGCGGCTGGGTTGCGCGTGTCTGCACCTGGCCACCGGGACTCGGGACGCCGCAAAACTGGGCTCTTGTTAAGGGATTCTGTTTTAAGTTACCAATAATAAAGAAACCATGCGATTTTCTATAGATCAGTATTATGGTAACTTGAACCGAATTCCTTCACAAGAACCAAGAAAATCTCTAACCAAGTTGGGGCTTTCAATTCGAGGCACAAAGTCTTGAATTATGCCAGGACTATACGGGAACTCGGTCATTTAAGTCTCAGCTCCGTGGCTTGGGGCTCAAGGTTTGGGGGAAAACGGCTGAGGTGAACCCTTAAAGGAACCCTTAGAGATCCTTGTAAAGGAACCCTTAGAGATCCCTTAAGGAACCCTTACAGGTCCCTTAAAGGAACCCTTATAGATCCCTTAAAGGAACCCTGGAGAGACCTGAGCCCTTGAAGACAAGATTTTGGTCTGAAGACTCCTTTTTCAAAGTGTTTCCGGCAGCCCACAAGTCACTTAGGTGTGTAGGATACCCAGTAACCCAAGAATAAAAAGGCCTCTCTTTTTGGTATTGGATAACTTTAAAAGGAACCTAGGACTACAAAAAGGGAATAAGGGTACTACTGGGCATCCTAGGTAGGTTAAACGACGTCCAGCGCATCCCCTCAACCCTGAAGACTAGACACAAAGCGCCGATGCTCTACCACCCAGATCTGCAAACCAGAACGCGGAAACCGCACATGCTGAAATCGCTATATGGGTGGTTGTCAAAACTAGGGTCCCTCTTTGGGTCCCTATTACTATTATTTAGGGTACCCAAAGAGGAACCCTAATTTTGACAACAACCCATATTGGGCTTTCGGGATCTACGGCTTTAGGGCTGCAAAGGTTTGGAGCTTTCAGGATTGATGCGGCTGGCGCAGGAGGGTGCAGAAACGCGGACCCTCCACCCTAAACCTAAAACCCTAAACTGGCCTAAACCCTAAGCCTTAAACCCTAAATCCTGAATCCTAAACCCTACAGATACTATCGACCCCAAACCCTACAAACCCCAAACCCTTTAAGGGAACCCTACAGAACCCTTTAAGGGATCCCTTCAACGGAACCCTACAGAACCCTTTAAGGGATTTTTGTACAGGAACCCTATAGAAAGCTTTAAGGGGTCCCTTTAAACGCACCCTATAGAACCATTCAGCAGGAACCCTCCCGACCGCCGAAACGAGCCTTGAGACGGATGATCTTCCTCGGCTTAAGCAGGGTTTAGGGCTCCTCTAAAAGGGATCTATAAGGGTTCCTATAAGGGAAGGCTTTAGGCTTTAGGTTTTAGGGTTTAGGGCTTAGGGTTCAGGGTCTAGGGTTAACTGAATCAGTAGCTGTTACCGGTCAGGCTTCGTGAAGGCGTAAGGACTCAGCTGTGCATTTTGATGGCCTTAGAACTGTCTGCATCTTGGGGCGCCTTCCCTCATGGCGATTCAAGCGTCGGGGCAATGAGAGGAAGTTCCCTCTGGACATTCGGCGGCAGTGTGGCGCAGGTTGGGGCCTGTAGGGTTTAGGGTTTAGGGTTTAGGGTTTAGGGTATGCTTCAGCAATGCTAAGGACGAGTCAAACGGTCAGTAAGCCCTGAAGCAAGCTCCAAAACGCTTCTGAAGCCCCAGCAGCCCTGAATCATATCAGCAAACCCCTTGCACCCCAAAACCCCAACCCTACACACCCACTTTAGAACCGCGACAGAACCCTCATAAACACCTTATGGACCCACTGTAGGCCCTAAACCTTGAGCCAAGACCTCCAAACCCTAAACCCTGAACCTTAAACCCTAAACCCCAAACCCCTAAACCCTTCTTTGAACCTTAAACCCTAAACCCCAAACCCCTAAACCCTTTTTTGAACCTTAAACCCTGAACCTTAAACCCTAAACCCCAAACCCCTAAACCTTTTTGCGAACCTTAAACCCTAAACCCCAAGCCTTGGACCCTACGCCCTTGTCCCCTCTTTGAAGCCCAGACGAAGCACGTGATTCCGAACTTTCGAGGGCTTCGCTCTACGACCTTCCAGGACCAAAGTGATGCTTTCGGAAAAGTGGGGTTAGGGGTGCTTTAATGGTTCCTTGAAGGTTTTGACGGTTGAGGGTTAAGGGTTTTGGGCGTTTGGTGGTTTGTGTATGGGGTTTTGAAGGTTTTGGGGTTTAGGGATTGAGGGCTTAGGGTTGCAAGGCTTACTACAAGGGTCATACATAGGTTACTGAAGCAAGGCTAGTGCGTGGGTGTTGTTCAGGGTTTTAGGGTGAAGGGTTTGGGATGCTACGCGTATATCTTTCTCAGAGGCATGCTGCAGAGCCAACCTCACAAATCTATGCATCATCGCGATCATTGACAGGATCATCGCCATCATCATCAGCAGCATCATCGGAATCATCGATGTCACACGAGAATCGCAACAGCAGCCCTACGCAAGCCCTCCGCTCGGTCGCCTCGTTGTGAAGGTACCACAAGACCCCGGCAAGGTTCCCGGTGTTCACGTTCCTGATTAGCGTTTAAACGTCCAGTTTTTAGGGTTTCACCGACATAACGAGGAGAGTGTGGAATGGGGTCATTGCTTGGAGCCTGGCTTTTCGGGTGCAGAAGTTTGTGTAGTCGCTAAACCCTAGACCCTAGACCCTCGGGCTAAGGGCCTTCAGTTGAGGACTATTGTGGAATCTGGAGACACGAAACTCGGAAGCCTGAACCGAAACTACGAGCACTAAACATCGAGATTTGGGAGTTTCCGAAAATTAGGGGTGCCTTTTTTGAGTGTCCTTATAATAAAGATCCTACTAGTTAGGGTACCATATTAGGGTCTCCTATTCTCGGAAACTCTCAAATCTCTAGACTCTGAGCTCACAATCCTTGACACGGGACCCCTGTGCCCAATGCCAGAACAGCTGTTCGCGCGTACCTACTTAGAGCTCTGTGAAAATGTGTCTCCAAATACATGAAGCATAAATTTGTTGCATGTACAGCTGCAGCAGCCTTTCTCTGTCCGCCGGTCTGTCTGTATGTCTTCATGTACGCACGTATTTCTACTGTCTACATGTACGGATGGATGGGCAGAGGGGTGGGTGCATGGATGCATGCATGGTCTCGCTTTTCTCCATGTCTGTCAGTGTGTCGGCCTGGTTCTATCCGTCTGTCCATCTGTGTCTGTGTGACTGCCTGCCTGCCTGCCTGCCTGGCCGGCTGCCTGTGCACCATTAAACATGCATTTTCAGTTCGAACAAAGTGTGCGCGGTAATGCTGGTTCTGATCTGCATCCATGCCAAAACGGTCAGCTCAATATCCATCGTCCATCATATCCAGACAACGAAGTTGGCAGGCACATACGGGCACTCGTGTCTGGTAATACGTTCATGCTACGTTCACTACGAGCATCCATCACATAAGCCTGAATATAGGCAAGTTTGTTAACAAGCCATTGACCTTATACCATAATTACACCGAAATAACTATAAGTCCTAACCCTAAAGCATCCTAAAACCGAAAACCCTTGCCGCAACCCTAGTAAAGCTTTCGTACCAACGGTGGCCCTCAATCTTCCAACCCTATAAACCCTGAACCTTCCAACCCCTGTAAACCCTAAACCCTAAACCCTGAACCCTAAGCCCTAAAGCTTTTCAACCCTGAGCCCTAAACCCTAAACCGTAAACCCGTGAACCTTCCTGCTTGCAACCGACAGGCATGGGCGGGTAAACGGTGTCGGAGACGGCCCGATACATGTAGAACCTGGGGTTTCAAGGTTTAGGGTTTAGGGGTTTAGGCTTTAGGGTTTAGGCTTTAGTGGCTTTGGGCTTTGGAATTGGGGGTTTAGGCTTTAGGGTTTAGGATTTAGTGGCTTTGGGCTTTGGAATTGGGGGTTTAGGGCTTCGGGGTTCAAAGGTTCGGGGTTTCGGGTTTAAGGCATGGTTCCAAGATAAACTGTACCATCAGCTAGCACACTTTCATAGATGATACAGTCAATCATAACCATGAGGCTCAAGGCATTTGTGTTGTGAAAGCTTCGGCTCGCCTGTAGCGGGTGCCAGGTGTAGGTGTGTGTGTCATGGTTTGTCTGTGGGACGGTTGGAGGCCGAAGCTTTGGGCATCCGTGCGTAGGGTTTGGGGTTTAGGTTTTGGGGTTCAGGCTTCAGGATCACGGCAAAGCCCACCATCAGAGGATGGTGACGGTGATGCTGCTGATGATGGTGGTGGCGGTGGCGGTGACGGTGGCGGTGATGATGATTGTGATGTTGATGTTGATGTTGCTGTTGAGGATGATGATGATGATGTTG